GCCCCGAGGCCCAACACAGAGCTGAGTCCGGCAGTGTCAACTGGTTCCGTGGGAACTGAGGCTGGGAAGAAAGAGCTGAGATGCCAGGCTTCCTGCCTCAGCAATGCACAGAGACCATAGCGGAACGAATTTGTGCACTGGAGCTAGTCTCCACCTCCTCCTCCCAACGCTGCCAGGCCCAGTCCCCTGCCGTTTATCACGGCTTGGTAAATCTGTTCTACGATCTGCTACCCCACAGCGCTGATCGGAAAGATTGCCTACTGGTCAACAATTAAAAAGAACAAACGTACTGGACAGTGGGCTCAGCCTGGTCATCCCCAAGCTCTCTGGGAGTGGCCGAGGGCCGAATCGTCCCAGGTCAGAGTTCGAGACCATGGCCTGAGCAGAGCGAAGACCCGTCTCTCTACTTAAAAAACTGAGTAGAAAGATTAATGGCCAATTAAAAATAAATAGAAAAACCAGATTAGCCGAGCGATTGCCATTCGTGTTAGTCCGGTACTTAGAGCTGAGGCGGGAGGACCGCTCGAGCTCAGTGAGTTCGAGGACCATGCCTGAGCAGAGCGAGACCCTTGTCTCTACTTAAAAAAAAATAGAACAGAAAATGAATGGCCAACTTAAAAAAGTATATAGAAAAATGAGCCGGCATGGTGGTGCATGCCTGTAGACCTAGCTACTCAGGGAGGAGGCTTGAGGCAGGAGATGCGCTGGAGGCCAATTTGGGAGGTCTGCTGTGAGCGAGGCTGATTGTCACGGCACTCCTCTAGCCCGGTGACAAAGTGAGACTCTGTCTTCAAAAAAAAAAGAGTAGTCGGACTGATGATAGGAGAGGTAACAAGAGAAAAAGAAAGAAAAATAATATTAATATTAAAATCTGAGGATAATAATAAAATAGAATAGTCTTTAAAAGTTAAGAAATAAATAAAATAAATTAAATAAATAAATCAATATTAAAAAAAACAATGGGTGTTCTTCAGTGTCGTAGATGCAGGGAAGGGCAGGACGTTTAATGTGGCTTTTTAGGGTCACCTAATAATACGACACCTGTCATTTATCCAGGGACAGAATGTCACAACCTACTTTGCACGGCCCTGCCCCATGAAAGCCGCCTCTCAGCTTCTTTCTTCCCAGCCTCAGTTCCACGCCATTGACACTGCCGGACTCAGCTCTGTGTTGGGGCCTTGGCCCTCCCAGAGGTGTTGAACCCGGTCCCCAATGTCAAGGAAGATTCCAGATTCCTTTTAGCCACCCCCTCCCCCACTCCACTCCAACCAGGAAAGGAAACCATGGTGCATATGAGAAACTGTAGCTATGGCGGAAGCTTCCAGAGACTTTAGAAATTATTGTGCAAGCCTGCCAAATCTTTTTATTTTTTTCCCAGCGTATTATGGGGGTACAACTGTTAAGGTTACATATATTTTTCTTGACCCCCCAAACCTTCCCAATTCTTTACCAAGGGGGAAAAAAAGAACATGTAATTAAAATAGTGAAGCCGGGCGAGGTGGCTCAGGCCTGTCATCCTAGCACTCTGGGAGGCCGAGGCGGGAGGATCGATCAAGGTCAGGAGTTCAAGACCAGCCTGAGCAAGAGCGAGACCCCGTCTCTACTAAAAAAATAGAAAGAAATTAATTGGCCAACTAAAAATATACATAGAAAATATTAGCCGGGCATGGTGGCACATGCCTGTAGTCCCAGCTACTCGGGAGGCTGAGGCAGGAGGATCGCTTGAGCCCAGGAGTTGGAGGTTGCTGTGAGCGAGGCTGACGCCACGGCACTCACTCTAGCCTGGGCAACAGAGCAAGACTCTGTCTCAAAAAAAAAAAAAAAAAAAAGACACTTGTATTTTGGGGTTGACCAGCACAACCAAGCCTGCATTCACTGATAAAAACATTAAAAAGAACATTCCAGAAAGTCGCTAAATAATAATATCAGTTTGTATAACCGTCCTTTGGTTCTTATCTGTTATTCACTTATAGAGACAGCCTGTAAGGTCACTGGAGAATGAATGCAATTTTTTCAGTGTGCAGAAAGTTTTTTTTATTGCATACACAACAGAAATGCCATGGGTTGTTTGCTACTGTTAAATGTTAACACTTCCGAGATTGTTAATACATGCACTAAATGTTTTTTTTTGTTTTTTAAAGAAACTAGGAATTAAAAATATCTTGAAGCCGTTTGATTAGTTTGAATTCGTTTCTGAAACGTAAGATGAGATGGCATTTAATAGACGTGGTATTTCATTCCAGCTTTTTGACGACAATGTGAATTTGAGCTGTGGAAATAAAAATAAGGAGGGGGACGGGGGGGTGAACAGGGGAGGAGAAAATGAATGAATGAATGAATGATTGAATGAACAAATTACGATTTATCAATTCCATCATTTTTACATTACTATGTTCCAAGTATGAGAACTTCCATTCCCTCCCTACCCAACTGAAAACCTGATACATATTTAAAATCTCCCTGATACATATTTATAACCTGATACATATTTAAAACCTTATACATATTTAAAACCTCCCTGATACATATTTATAACCTGATACATATTTAAAACCTTCCCGATACATATTTATAAGCTGATACATATTTAAAACCTCCCTGATACATATTTATAAGCTGATACATATTTAAAATATGGCCCATGTCTCAGTACTAATACTCTTGAGTATTAGGAAGAGTCCAGAGAGGATCATTTTGCTTTCTTCCTTGCAAATTGCATTCATTTATTCATCCATAAATATTTATTAAGTCCCTCTTAACCTGTCAGGCGGTATTGCTGGGTGGTGAGGCGATCTTGTGGAATGATCTGTAGGTTTCTAGAATTAACTTCTGTTATCAATCCTCAAATATGCTGAGAGTCCCCCAAAAGCAGAGAACCAAAAACAATCCCACATTGACTGGATCATGTGACCAGACAACTGTGACATTCTCGATCCTAAAGGCTAGGTTTGTTTTTTATTTTTTTTTTGAGACAGAGTCTCGCTTTGTCGCCCAGGCTAGAGTGAGTGCCGTGGTGTCAGCCTCGCTCACAGCAACCTCACACTCCTGGGCTCAAGCGATCCTCCTGCCTCAGCCTCCTCCCGAGTAGGTGGGACTACAGGCATGCGCCACCACGCCCGGCTCACTTGTTTTTATCTATATTAGTTGGCCAATTAATTTCTCTCTATTTTTAGTAGAGATGGGGTCTCGCTCTTAGGCTGGTTTTGAACTCCTGACCTCAAGTGATCCTCCCGCCTCGGCCTCCCAGAGTGCTAGGATGACAGGCGTGAGCCACCACCTCTGGCCCTAAGGGCTAGTTTGGCATCAAACTCCCAGTCAAGCGGGTAACCCAGCCCTTGACAGAAATGTCATTAGGCCGGGCGGGTGGCTCACGCCTGTCATCCCAGCACTCTAGGAGGCCGAGGCGGGAGGATTGCTCAAGGTCAGGAGTTTGAAACCAGCCTGAGCAAAAGCAAGACCCCATGTCTACTAAAAATATAATGGAATTAATTGAAAGAACTAATAGAAATTAATAACGAGGCGGGAGGATCGCTTGATGTCAGGAGTTCGAGACCAGCCTGAGCAAGAGCGACCACCCGTCTCTACTAAAAATAGAAAGAAATTAGCGGTACAACTAAAATATATATAGAAAAAATGACCCCGGGCGTGGTGGCCGCATGCCTGTAGTCCCAGCTACTGGGAGGAGGCTGAGGCAGGAGGATCGCTGGAGCCCAGGAGTTGGAGTTTGCTGTGAGCGAGGCTGACCCACGGCACTCACTCTAGCCTGGGCAACAGAGTGAGACTCTGTCTCAAAGATAACTAAATAATCAATAATCAATCAATCAATAAATGAAGGGGGACCATTCTAGAACTGAGGAGGAGGCTGGGGCAAGGCTGTACCCCTCAGATCTACTGAAACTGCCTCCTCGTGTTAGGAAAGGGCACTGGCTTGAAAAAGAGAGGCCAGGGTCTGCCACCGATGGTTAAGTGACCTTCGCAAGTCATTTTCATGTCACTGGGTCACCAGAAAAATGGCGATCATGTCACGGAATTGTCATGACAACAACAAATGACGTGAAATGTGTATTGCATTTATTTTTTATTTTTTAATTAAGTTTTCTGTTTTTTATTTTTCTTAAAAAAAACTTGATAATTCTTTTGATAATGATCTTGAGCTTAATTTCAGATGGATGAAATGTGTATTTTTAAAGAAGTCTGCGAAACAACTATGCAAGAATGCAAGGACCGGTGTGACTCTATTTATAGGTGACGTGTGGATCTGTTTTGTTTTTTGTTTTTTTTTTTAACAGGGATCTCTGTGCGGAGACTGGCTGTGGTGGACGTTTTGTTGTCCTTGTACCTTGTGTCAACTGAAGAGGGACGTCGAGATGAGGAAAGAACTGTGTGCTTTGTAAAAGGCGCGTTGGTAAGTCGGTGAGCTTTCTTTGACGATCTACGAATATCACAATGAATTTTCAAGGACATCTTTTATTTTGTTTATTTATTTATATTGAGACTGAGTTCACTCTGTCACCCTGGCTAGAGGGCCTTGGCTGTCAGCCTCGCTCACAGCAACCTCCAACTCCTGGGCTCAAGCGATCCTCCTGCCTCAGCCTCCTCCCGAGTAGCTGGGACTACAGGCATGCGCCACCACACGCCCGGCTAATTTTTTCGTGTATAAATGTTTATTAATTTTTTC